TTAGCACTTAAGAATTATATATTTCACAATAAAATTAGAATTAAACTGAAAAACGAACCGACAAGTCGTATAATTTGATTCTCCTGCTAACACTGGTAAGTTAACATTTTAAATATTTGCTCATATTTTTCCTTTTTTTTTTTTGGATCAGCAATATATAAGGTGTGAATGGATCCTATACTTCATTTCACACAAGGTTCGATTCTTTAAACTTTAGATTTTGCGACTTTCGAATTTCTTAACACCGAAAACTGATTGCTCTGGTCGGGTCTTTTATTTATTCCTACCTTGTAATATTATTGTTGTAGTCAGTTGTGTCAAATTTTTAACTTGAAAACACAGACAAATGGGACTGTTCTCCAAAATATGCTGATGTTAAGCACCTACAATGCTACCTTGTGCCAAAAGAAGTAAAGGTAGGATCCATTTCATACCTTATATATTGCTGATCTTACCTTATGAAGGTAAATGAAACACGTTTTTTAATTAAAAACCTCGGGCGGTATATATTTATGTTTTATCGTGAAAACTATTCTGTATGTAGTTTCACAAATTTAGATTCTTGCTTCTTCTTGCTAAGCGACCGCTGACTAATCTCCTTCTTTCCTAGTATTAAAAGGTTCTTCCTTTTTATCTCATTGGGATCGGCCTATATGATTTTTGTGGGTTTCCCTACGCCCTCATTGTTCCATAGGGATATGTGGACGTTTTTTTTTCACATGTCTTCGTATTGTGATCGGGCAAGCAAAAAGAGATTTCGGTATTTAGCTCTTCAATAATGTGACTATGGGCATATATATACATATTTGATGGCCGTCCGGATGATCAAGTAGTGCTTTCCTATATTTTCTATTGTCTGCTATTCTACGACGCCTAAGAACGATAGGTGTGCAGATGTACTGTTATTATTTTTTCAATGCAGTGCGACAATGAGAGTCTTGCATAAGAATAACAATAAGAGACAATATGAGACAGAATATCAGGAGCTCCTCGATGGGCTCAGTTCTTTCAATAATGCCCTGCGTGTTCTATCATATGTGCTCCGTTTCGTTAAAAATTCACATCCGAGATTCATGTTGCTATATCACTACTCGACTACTGTTTTAACCCACAACAAATTAAATCTGTCAAGACGGATTCTATTAAAGCTCAAAAAGTTCACTACAGCGAGGAATATAATTCTTTATTGCTTAAACGAGCGCTACCAAGATCTACTTTGCTTCTTCCCTTAACTCTTTGATTCTGAGGGAGTAATGTAACTTAACCGACGCTTAGTGAAATCACCCAGTTTGTCATACAGGGGGAGGTTGCCTATAATTTTGCCTTATGCCAGTCGCTTTACTCACCTCCTTTTTGAATATATACATTTGCTTTCAATTCGTGGTGGAAATCAGTTAATGTTACGCATCGTTCGCATTGAATATAGAGTTCCTCGGAACCTTTGAAAAGTTTCAAATTACATTTTCGCCGGCATGCGAAACAATTGCTGTTCACATTCGAAGAGTTTAGTACTCATCCCGGCGATAATGAAATGGTTCGCGTAGTTGACGTCAAGACAGCACAAGGGGTGGTATGACGGCCAATAACAAAATTAGTAATACTCCAGAACCAATTTATTCCATCATACATGATGTTTTGCTTAGTTACGGAACCTACTTTGACTTCGCGGATACCCCAATGTCTGATGAGGAGCGAATGGATATTTCCAGCATAAGCTCAGTGGCTATCAGGGTCAACCTGAAGCCCGATCGGAACCCAATCCCACGCAAGTACCTGAAAAAGTCCCCGAGACCTCTAAGTTGCAGCCTCCAACTTACACTCATCAGACTTTGGTCAGGGCATTAGCGGGTGCAGTGCCAAAGTGATGACATAACGATGTGTTTCGATGCGCAGTTTTCGAAGGATGTCTGTTGATGCGAGAATCCTATATGTCTGAGTGAATGGATACTGCCAAAATTGCCTCTTGATGAAACATATAGGAAATCAGTGTGGCAACTCCCAGCGTAGTCATTATTGCCGTCGAAATCATCATTCCGTACTGCATTCCCGCCTTCCTAACGACCAATAAAGCACCAGCCGCTCATTGTACATCGCCACAGTTCGTTGAGCTTGTATCTTTCCGTAGTCCGCCTATGTTTCCGTTTGTTTCGGCTCAATCTCTCCCATTCAGTCGTATCGTCATCCTTTCCCCGACATTAGTTGTTCGTCTGTTATTGCCTAACTCCAGCATCCCAGTCAGAGCGTTGTTGGATCCTTGCTGTCGTGTTAGGCATATATGCGAGAACCTTGTCAAAGGTTTACGGCTGATTTGGCACGATTTAATGATCAGCAAACCCAGTATATCATCCTAAGCGTTGCCAAACTAGAGCGAGGAAAAACTCCTGCTGTCTCGCTCAATTCCGTCATTGTCATTTGTGGGACTGGTGGGACTTATTAATTGTTTGATTCTGTATAAAAAAAATTGGAGTGTAGAGGTGACGATGACCGCCATGACATAACCTCCATATCATGGTAAGGACTTGGCAACTAAGCCTGATACCCTTCGAGGCACCCAGGTATCCACGAGGCAACCGTTCGAATACAGTCGGTACTCTGAATGCAAACCTTGTAACACTCACCCAATGTTAGGGAGTCCAATTGCTGTGAACCATTCCGTTCATATAGTTAGTTATGGGCGCCAGTACCTTTGCCTCGTCAAGTCCAGGGATAATAGGCATTCGGGTATGTGGTCCAAGATTCTTTAGTTAATGGTGGAGTCCTGGCCGAATTTACAATTTTATTTTTTATTTTTTTATAGTACCCTGCGATTCATATTGACAGCTTAACTAAAATTGGACGTAGCGTATACAAAAATACAAGTATTCAACTTCCCTACTATGGAAAAGATTTTGTAAGTCCGTACTACCCGAATACACCAGTTCCAACTAATAACGTTGAAAAATTTGGAACAACCCTAGTTTAGTAAAAACTCTTCGGGTTTAAGACCCGGCCTGGACGATATAGGTATCGTTGGAAAGTTTATGAAAATACCTATCCAACAAGTGGTCACATGATGTATAGTCATACATGATTTATAGTCAAATTATCGATTTTTTAGACCCGGATTTTTAATAAAACCCTCAAAAAGTCCAAAAGTCCCTCCATTATGCCAAATTATAGCTGACACTCTTACCTTTCCAAAATGCTACAATTTGTGCTAATACCTTTACTGAGTCCAGTTCATTAAAATTATGTTTTCAATACTTTTGACTTGACTTGACTTTTTGGTGGTTTTATAAGAAATCCGGGTCTAAAAAATCGATAATTTGACTATAACTTCCGGACCGTGGATAGTTATTTTCATAAGCTTTTCAACGATACATATATTGTCTAGTCGGGGACCTGAACCCGGACTTTGGGGTCAAAAATCAGGGGTCCAGAGTCCGTCCATCAAGAAAAAAATTGTTTCCCGGGATCAAGGTAAAAATACCTAAAACTGGAAAAAATTCGAAGAAATTGAAGAGTTTTTACTAAACTAGAGCTAATAGTACGTTTATATATATGAGGGTTAACCCACTGGATTTGGATTTAAATTGTCATACCCATTACTTTTACTTCAAATAAATCCTCTCAAAGTAGGTTAACCCTACAAAAAGTTCTAACGTAAACATGGCATAAGACAAAAATTTAATAATTTTCAAAATCCATCAAATTGTTATTTTAATTATTAAAAAATTTTTGTTTTCAATGCACAAAAAAAGAAATTCAATTGTCAATAGTTGTGTTCCAGTACTTTTTTAGCAGTAAAACTAGCAGAAGAGAGAACAGTACGAAATGCCATTCTCATTTAGGTGTGCTCAAAAAATAAGGGAACGGAAAATTAGCAGAAATGCGATAAAATGTCAACATTCAAAATTCAAAAAAAAAAAGAAAACAGTCTAAATCGGACTGGTGAAACCTTACTGAAAAGGACGCCAAAATTTGATGAATATTGAAGAAGGTAAGTTAAAATTAACTGCTGGAATCATTCAAAAGTGAATACATTAGGTGCTCCACATTTTCTTTTTGTTTTTTGCACGACAAATATTAGTTTTTCCTTTAGTTTTTAAGTTGATCTTTTTTCTTTACATATGTTGTCACGCGCGAACATTGAAATGTATCAATACATTTTTCAGCCTTGTTAGCCCTGCCAATTAAATGTCAAATTTACAATTTGCACATTTCTGCTCGGCCAAATTCACATAGCTAAAACAAGCAGAAATGTACACCACTCAGCGCCATTGTTTTCTCGAGAGAGCTGCAAGATTTGCTAGTTTTTAGATTACGGGAACGCGTTGTAGCAGAAATAGCACGAATTTGTTGGTTCTGGAACACAACTAATGTTGAAATTGTACAACTTTGAAATTTCGCACGCTCCCTCTATTTGTGTGGCGTATTCGACGGCGTTAACAAATAAAAATCCGATGTATCACACACAAATATTCAATTTGCCCACTATGGTACATTGTTTTGAGCGTCCGTATTACCCAAATAATCCAGGTCCATATATTTAGGTCAATCCATTAATAAACTTATACAAATTGTGATTTTTTAAAAATTCGCTAATTGTTATATTCCAACTATAATCATTCACTGATTTGGGTTCTATTAAGCTTATAGACCTAAGTTTTGTAAATAAAAAATTCTCTTTATTTCATTGATTCCGACGTTTTGTAAATGTTTGTTGACATCTTCAGGGGATACGTCTATTTAAATAAGCATTACATTAGATCAAATCTTCATGAATATATAAATAACTTACAATAAAATTGGATTCACATTTTTTATATTATTTGTTACTTTTTTTCAACACGCCAACAAATGGAATTGTCCAATTGTCAATGTTGAAATTGTTCTGTCATATAAATACATGTGTGTTATTTCTGTGATGAAAAACATCGACTGAGAACGTCGAATTTTAGATAACGCTGTAAAATTCTTGATTAGGGTTCTAATGTCTGAATTTGTTGGTGAAAATAGATTTTGTTTACCCTGAATGTGCATTAGTCATTAGTTGTTTTGCTTGTTAACTTTAGTTTTCGATTCAAACAAATATTTTGAAGAAGAAATTTCGAAATGGCCACGTTAAATCGTCCAAAATCTCCACATGCAAATAGCACAATTAAATCTGGCGAAAAAGAAGAAAGCTTTTGGGATAAATTTAGCACTCTTGGGAGGAAAAAAGGAACAAAAGAAGGTAGGCAATGATCCAGAAAAGTTTCTATATCTAAAGATGAAATATTAAAATGTGAATGAATAAGTGCAATATTAAGAACGGGTTGTTAGATTCAACGTCCATTACCTTGAGGTTTTTATTATTAAGAATTTACATGTGTGAAAGATTTAAATATTAATAAATAAGCGTTTCAAATACTTCTGTGTTGCAATATATTTCAGCGAGTTACGTCATTGTTTATAATGTATGTTTATGTGTACCTCATATTCAAACAAACTTAGGTAATACAGATATACAATGTGTCAGTCTTTAGCGCATCACAAACAATACACTTACAAAAAGTACCTATGTGATGACGGCCTAAGTATAACGTCAAATGAATTATTAGGTGCGTCTGGTTACTTTTCCTGCAGGAATTGTCCAGAGTAAGTTAGTTTTATTCTCTTTTGCAAGGAAAATGCGAAAGTAAACAGACGGTATTCCGGCAAAAACTTGCAACTAATCAGCTGTTTTGTCAAAACAAACCAATTTGTCCCCCATTAAAAGAAGTAAAAGAAAGGAAGCACTACCAATTTTACAAGTTTTAGAAATCAAAAGGAAATTAGCAATAAAATAAAACTATGAGCAATAAAAAAAGATATATTTGAGGTGTTCCCCGGAATCCTTTATGCGTGTTGCTAATGGCATTTGTCTAAAATGTTGGAAATAGTCTTTTATTTTCTTTCTTATTACATATTAACATTTATGTTTTTCACATTTTGTAAAGTTATTCTCCAAAAACAATTAGTTTTGCTAATTCAAAAAAAAAAAAAAAAAACTCATTCTTAAAATTTGCAGGAACACCTAGTCATTGCGCCATGCATGTGATAGTTTTAAATAAGAAGTGTTTGTTTATCCGATAATTCCTACAAGTCTTTCATTGGAATCTGTTCGTTTAGCCAATAGTGAGAACGAAATGAGAAAGACATTTTGAAATTTGAGTTACTGAGAGTTTGTAAATTTTTAAGAATAATCCAGCAACAACACCTGTTCAACAATCAGTTGTTTTGTAAACCAACAATCAAATTTAACCAATGTATTTTTTGGGGAAAAAAGTTATTAAAATTATTAACAACAATGGATAAGGAAAACGTAAGTAAAGATGAAAAATAAATAATTTAAGGCGTTTGTTTGTATTAATTATATTTTGTAATAAAAACTGAAAAAGAAATAAACTGCATCAAAATATTTCCGCTGTTAAGATTTGCGCCAAAGTTCTTTTAATGGATCAGCCGTTATCTTACAAATATTTTGCAAGATGCTATTCGTTAACTTTTTGCAATTTTTTCTCTCGAGTGAGAGAGATAATTAAAACTGCTTTCATGATTTGGAGGGCTCACTGCTATACCGAACCAAGTCATGAAAAATAAAAAATGCCGAAATTAGTGCCAATGTTCCCGTATATGGAAACTCTGTTTTCTCTGTAAAGCACAATGTCAAAAAGTGTTTCGTTCCAAAGATAACGGTAAAAAACCTAAGTCAACGACTGTGATTTTCGTCTTTTTTCAAAGCAAAAATGAACCAAGTCAGTGTGTTTCACTTTGAATCAGTATTATTAGTGAGCACGTGTTAATTGTCGTTCAGTTTTCAGCAATATTAAAAAAATCAGTGTTTTCTATAAATGGATAGTAATAATAGCAGCACTAGTGATTTTTCCAGTAATGAAAATGAGGAATATTTGTCAGCCCCAAAAATGATAAAGACGGAAACGACGAATTTTTTATGTGTAAATATTTGTTGAATCCAGTTAAAATTAAGAAGGTAAAGTCATTTCAAATAAGCATATCCATCTCTGCATTTTGTGTAATTTACTCTGTCAAATTTCCCTGCCTAGAAAGCAGATTCTCATATCTGATTTATATGTACAATGGATTTATAAATATACATTTTGACAATGAGATGTTGTCAAATGCATAACTTTAAAAAAAAAAAACAAGTAAAAAAGCTGTAAGTTCGGCCGGGCCGAAGTTGAATGCCCTCCACCATTTGGTACAAATTTGGCCATTTTCAAAAAATTAAAATCCATTAAAAATTCTGTTAAAATCATAAAAATACCGAATGTAGAGGAATTATACATACATTGGGGGCTATACGAAGACGTGGACCTGCACAGACAATTTTCTGTCATAAGCTGTAGTATTCATTCGAACTTCAAATACTAAATTTGAAATAGTTCCGGTAAATAATATCGCTAAAATCATCAAAATACCGCATATCGGGAGGTACCGTTATATGGGGGCTATACGAAGCCGTGGACCTGCTTGGCCCATTTTCAATACCAAAAATCAAAAATCAGACAAAATACACATTTGAGTAAATTTTTATCAACTTTCTTCATTTCGTTTGGATGCTAGTGTGATTTCCACAGACGAACAGCCGGACGTACCTCGCCGTACGACATAGCATTTTATGCTGATCAAGAATATAAATACTTTGTGGGGTCTAAAATGTATATTTCGAGGTGTTACAAACGGAATTACAAACGTAATTTTTTTTCTAAAAATCACAATGATTGTCAATTACAATAGAAGCACCCACAGCTACCAGCCGCCAAAGCAAGACATGACTTAAAATGAATCTCCAAAACTAGTGGGAAATTAATCGCCAAAGTCAACTATATTTAGTCATATAACGAACACTTTATATTATTTTTTGACTTGGTTCGCTTTAGCTGTGAAACCTTGAAATTTTATTCAGTGTAATAATGAACCAAAGTAAATTTTTTTGTTTTTGAATATTTTTTTAGTAATATATTTAAATTATTTTTATTTTAAATTAATATCATTAGTTAATTTTGAATATAGACTTTTACATTTTCTTTTGGTAGACTACAATATTCCTTCCAGAAATTAATGGCAGTGCATTTACTTTACCTCTAAATATCTTCGAATTATGTTTTTATGACTTAGTTCGGTATAGCTGTGAGCCCTTCATTTATTAGGCTGGAAATACATAAAGAGCATATTTGGCTGGCTTAAGTCATCGGCTGGCTTCTTCATAGACGAACAAAGGAGGTTTAGGTTGACTTAGTTCGATTTTAGCCCTAGGCTCCTTTGCTCATTTCCGAAGAAGCCAGCCGATGACTTAAGCCATCCAAATATGCTCTTTATGTATTTCCAGCCTTATGTCTTCTAATGTAAATATTGATCCAAATGAGTAGCTACAATAGATATAGATAGGTGTTAAAATACCCATGTATGAATTTGTGGAATATGTATTTCGAATGGTATATCGTATAGAATTGTTTTTTCAACACAAGGAAATATGTATATGTTGGCGATTTTAATTGTAATTTATTTAACTTGCAGTTTGGAGGCAGTCCGTTCAGTGTGTGAATTTGTCGGTGTTGTGTAATATTAAATTGTCTCAATTCGATGTTTCTCATTGTTCGTCTTCTATAGATTTTATGCTAGTAATTGTTCTATGGTCCATCTTTTTGATCAGGCAATTTGTCCTGTTATCTCAGATCACTCGATCATTTTTGTCTCGCTAAATATATTACAAAAAAAAAAAAAAATAAATAAATAATTATATGCGTTTGACTTAGATCTGCTGTTGATGTTAAGTGTTCGGTTATATCGTCTCCTATTCGAATTGTTTCGGGTTGTACCTGTAGTTCGTCGAAGAATTATTGTTGGCTTATTTTGTCGAGTACCAAATACTAGGAAGGTAGGTCCAAGTTTTCGTATAGACCTTATATAACGGTACCTCTCGATATTCGGTATTAAAGGCACTTTTTCTTAGTTTTTATTATATTTTTGCTATTTAGAAATTGTAATAGATTCTACATTCTAACATTGTTTATATCGACCCACATTTTCCTATAGCCCCCTATAACGGCACCTCCCGATATTCGACATTCTTATGATTTTAACCACTTTTTCTAACGGATTTGTTAAAATTTATATATTTATATTCTGTGGTGGGATCCACGTGTGGTGACGGAGCATTGTCTATATAGTTCCACATTTTGCCTGCCATATAACAGTACTTCCCGATATCGGAAATTTTTATAATTTTTGTCACACTTTCAATCACCCTTATTACGGCTGGCGTAGTCGTATCGAAAATTGCAAGTAGACGCGTCGTAACGACTAATTGGTATTATATGTGTCGTATGCGTGAAATTACAACTCTGTATGAAATTCTGTTACAATTTTCGTACCACGAAAGTCTGGGACGACTACAAATTCAAATTGAGAAAGAAACTAGTTCATAACAAGGCAGAATGTCGTGCTACAGGGTGAGGTCCCTTCAAGCAGTTCATTTTAAGCGACACGGAGGAAGCAGCATCACGCTTGTTACAATTAGAGACTATTGTAAATGCAGGGAACCAAGCAATTGGAATTCAACATCGTCCAATACGTGGTGAACTGGAGACTGAGGAGGGACTGTTTGAAGGGTTTAAAATTATACGGAGACATTAATATACATCCTGCCGAACTTTACGTGTTTTTACTTTATACATTATCAACAATATAAAAACAAGAAGGCAAAGGCTATAGTCGTGGGGCAGACCATGTGATACCCTACAACACAACAATATGTTAAAAGTCCCTTTATGTCCAAATCCATTTTGAAAGATTTCGCTTTTGCAATTATGTCACGGAGTACTGACCCAATATTTACACACTCCGTCGTGCTGTTAGTTGTTGTGGTCCATTTTATAGCTAAATATAATCCAGTGGTCATGCAAAATTCCAAAACAATTCTTCCCTGTCCTTAACTCTCTTCTTAAGCGTGTCAATTGGCTTCAATTGTGTGATCAGGAATTTTTTTCTGATTTTGGGCCATTTAAACACCAAAATATATTGCGGACATCTTTGAATACAATAGGCCTAGCCTTTCTGAGCCTAACCCTACTCTTGTGAACATTTCCGTGAGGATCGGACGATAATTGCCATCTGTATATAATATCCCCAACCTGTGTTGTAATGTAAAAAATATTAAAAAATATTACAAAAGTCAAATTGAAAAAATCACATGTGATAAAAAATATGAAAATATAAAAAAATGTCAGAAAATACTACAAAATCTATATTATCATCATTATTGGCATCTTTGTATGCGATTTTTTAGATTTTATTCTTTTATGCCAAGAGGGCATTCGGAATTGACAAAATTTGTCAAAATCGATTCAGCAATTCTTGAGATATAAGCATTCTAACTAACATTCCCTTCCTTTGTATATATACACATACATTGTATATATTTCG